TGGGATAGAGAGAAAAACGGAGGCGATACGGGGCTGCCTAGTTTAGGGGCACCCTCCAACTGAAGAGGTGGTCCCAGGTCCTAGGTAGGTGGGGTTGATAGTGGGTACTCCTTGACAAAGACTATTTCGCCTCCTCTTACCCAGTGCCTCAGCCCCACCCGATTATTTTATTTTATTTTCTATTTATAAATCATAATATAATGATCTGCTTGCCCAGCCTGGCAAAATGAGGGCCTGGGGGACGGTGTTAACATTGTCTTACACAGCCAGCCAATCTGACGTCTGACATTATCCTACAGGTGGGCTAATAAAGGAAAAGCTTCCGGGAGATTATTGGAAAATATCTCTATTTCGAGAGTGACTCACCTCCAGAGTGGGGAGAAAGGGGACACACCCAGAGGGGACGTCCTAATGGATCAGCAAGAGACCAAGATGTCCTGCCCTTTTCTAGGGTGCTTGGTCCCTTCTCCCACCCAGAGAGGACAGCATTCCGCCGGTATGGTTGCATGCCAGCTGTTGCAGGGCCTAGCGCTGTCCAAGGAGCACGTGGGCCTGAGCTCATCCCTTCTCTGTTCATAGGGGCTCGGTGGGGCTGAGGCCATTGTGGGTACTGATACTCAAAGAATTCTGGCCCCCTATTGATAGGCTGTAGTCCTGGTCCCTACCTCAAGGCCATGCATCAGCCTGGCCCCCTCCTACCCTGGTGGGGGGTCTGGATGGAACCAAAGTTTGTTTCTGGGGTATCTTTGGACCAAGTGGTCACCCGTGGGAATTCCTAGCTGAGTCATAACTGATAGCCTCCACACACTCGGGGTCAAGACAAAGAATCCCAGCAGAAGAAAGCTGAAACCTATTCCTTCTAAAGGGCTGCAAGGGTCAGGGTGGAGACCACATTGGCCCTGGTGTATGGGGGGAAATAGGCGCCCCAAACAAGGACATATGAGTATTATTACCCAAGCGCCCTTCCTGCTCTTCTGTCCTGGTTGTTTCTACTGGCTTCCTCCACCAGTTCTGTCTCTCCCTTCTTCCATTATTGCTGAAGTGTTTCTGTAACTTTTGGCTTTCAACACAGCAGACACCCTGGAATGCGTGCAGGCAGGTGCCCTTGAGTTAGCAATGGAAGCTCTGAGAAAGTTGAACTGAACTGGAAGGGTAATGTCTAGGGT